ACTACTGAGGGACACAAAGGAACAGTCAGACTAATGAGGGACACAGAGGGACAGTCAGACTACTGAGGGACACAGAGGAACAGTCGGACTAATGAGGGACACAGAGGGACAGTCGGACTAATGAGGGACACAGAGGGACAGTCGGACTAATGAGGGACACAGAGGGACAGTCAGACAAATGAGGGACACAGAGGGACAGTCAGACTAATGAGGGACACAGAGGGACAGTCAGACTAATGAGGCTATGAGTAAAGACTATGGTTCCTGTAGACACACCTTCAGCTCACAGGCTGAGGACGGATGATCAAGGATCAGCTGCTTCCTGTAGAACGGACCTCTGTCTGCACTGGAGGACAAAACATGGAACACTTTATAAACTGAGGATATTCTTCAAACTGTGAGTGGACAAAAAGAGACAAGAGAGCGAGTCTGTCCACCTGTCTGTCCTACAGGAGCCTGTCTACCTGTCTGTCCTACAGGAGCCTGTCTACCTGTCTGTCCTACAGGAGCATGTCCACCTGTCTTTCCTACAGGAGTCTGTCCACCTGTCTGTCCTACAGGAGCCTGTCCACCTGTCTGTCCTACAGGAGTCTGTCTACCTGTCTGTCCTACAGGAGCCTGTCCACCTGTCTGTCCTACAGGAGTCTGTCTACCTGTCTGTCCTACAGGAGCCTGTCTGCCTGTCTGTCTGTCCTACAGGAGCCTGTCTGCCTGTCTGTCTGTCCTGTAGGAGCCTGTCCACCTGTCTGTCCTACAGGAGCCTGTCTGCCTGTCTGTCCTACAAGAGCCTGTCCACCTGTCTGTCCTGCAGGAGCCTGTCCACCTGTCTGTCCTACAGGAGCCTGTCTACCTGTCTGTCCTACAGGAGCCTGTCCACCTGTCTGTCCTACAGGAGCCTGTCCGCCTGTCTGTCCTACAAGAGCCTGTCCACCTGTCTGTCCTACAGGAGCCTGTCCACCTGTCTGTCCTACAGGAGTCTGTCTACCTGTCTGTCCTACAGGAGCCTGTCCACCTGTCTGTCCTACAGGAGCCTGTCTGCCTGTCTGTCCTACAGGAGCCTGTCCACCTGTCTGTCCTACAGGAGCCTGTC